CGCATCCATAATAGTCGGAAGTAAGGTTGTAAAGACTTCATAGACATGATAGTTTTTCCAGGCATTGTATTTCGTATCAGCTAATGACTTGTTTGAAGTTGTCGTTGTTATCATCAGCGACTCGTTTAAAAGCGTATAATTCAGAAGCTCAAAAGCCGTTGAAAAATTTATTGAGCCAGGAATATCCCTCGCTCAAATGCTGCTTTCAAACGCATCTGGAAATCTTGCGTACCGTATTCGTGTTGCTCTGAAAACTCAAATAAATGGCATACTCACACAGGAATAAAAACCTCGCGAGGTAAACATTGAGCTAAAGAAAAAAATTACACAACGATAGCAAATATTCATGCTGGTACCAAAGAACAAATTGTGTAAAGTTTCAAAAAATGCTCCTCAAAAGCTTGGCAGTTGGACCCGGGAGACGATGTCGGTATTCCTAGAGCTTGTTTACGATAAGAACTTGAGAAGTGCCACGAGACTGTATAATCTATCCAGATACATAGACATTTGACAGGTATGTTTTTAATTCCTCTATTTATCCCTAGTTCGAAATAATTTTTTATCGTCACTTATTGACGGTTTGAAGCGCCTCATTGCTGCATGTTGAAATTATTATCTTGTTCGGGAATCTTATGAGTGGTGCTTCTGTTCTGAATTAATGAATTTTCAAATCTGTTCTGCACAAGTACGAAGAAGATCTGTGTGATATTTTGATGAAATAACTTAACATACCAAGTAGAAGCTGTTTCGATATTACTAGTTTTCAAGTGCAGTTCCTATTTTTTTAATAGTATGTTTAAATACATTGCAGGTGGCAGATCGGCATAACGTATTAACTGGATTATTTTCACGAGTCGAGTAAAGGTTGTTTGGTATGGATTTGCCCTTTCATTTGGTTGTTCTAGGAAGTCCGTACATCTCAGTGTGCGTGCGAGCCTATGGTAGTGATGTGATCTTTCCCGTTGCTCTAAGCTTTCTTGAAAGTTTTTATCCTACTTCTTTCAAAAAATTTTTTTTGCTCTCGTCAGTGTGTTGACAAAAGACGTCGGTTAGCAATAGCTTGACATCAAAATAAATATAACTTATGACGCAAAAAATCTGTATATCTCGAAACATCTCATCTTATGACTTGGAACATCTCATCTCATGACTTGGAACCTCTCATCTTATGACTTGGAACATCTCATCTCATGACTTGGAACATCTCTCTTATACACATCTAGATGTGTATAAGAGACAGCTCCTGGGCCACACGAACACTGGCCACGGGGCACTCCTGGGCCACACGAACACCGGCCACGGGGCNTCATCGCATGACTTACTATTCTCATGTTGTGATGAATTATCTATTCCGTGAATAACATTTGAGCTGCAGGAGACAGCGGTGCTCGGTGAAGCAAGTGTTTGATCGTTGGATGATTGTGTATTTGTGTATGGAATTTGCACATAGAGCAGGAATTGACTCGGGGGACCGGCAGTTTGTTTAGCAAGGCGAGCTGTTACGATCCTTTGAGCCAAGCTTCTCAGTTTCCCGTTCAATTGTTTGTCCGGCTTGCCTCATCGTTTTGTGATGCTGATGTCAACATGTTTTTACCTGCAGCTATGTTATGGGTATGCCTTTCGTGAATTATGCCTTTCATGAATTAGGAGTACTTCGTGACTATAATTACCCGTGTTGCAGTGACTGGTTATTTTAATTTTATGACTTACGGGCTTTTAACCATAACCTATTTACCACCAGTGGGAATGCTACGCTTACTGGTTTAGCAAGTATATGTCAAAAATAGTTTGCCTTGGCCCAAGTTTCTACTTGAAGTTCACGGAAAAAGTTCGACGGCCTTAATGTCATGACTCAGATTATTTCAGTGAATGGCGTCGTAGTTCTGTTGATCTAAGTTTTACTTTCACAACTGAATTATGAAAAGCTAGTCAATCATCATTGGTTTGGCAAAGAAAATAATTTTTACGCCAAACAGATTCAACTGCGCTTGCATGATTCGCTGCATCCTCGCGCTAGACTCTATAGTCTGTTCGACTCGATACCAGGCGCTCTATCGGCGCGACTGGTAACGGAACCTGCTACCCGGAAATGGATTCACCGGATTTCGCAAGAGGTTTGAGCCTTGTAATATTCTTACGATGCTCGGGTATTGCTTTTCAGTATCGCTAACATGTCGGATTGATAAGTGAAGGAGATGTTAGTGCTTGTGTATAACTAGCTATATACTGCCGATCTGCGTATTTTGGAATCCTTGTATATTTTTAAAGAGAAGCCTAGTTTAAATGCTGCCTATATAGTTCTTATCCATTAGAAATTGTGAATAGATAGGTACTTACTTTATTATTCTGCCCTTTGTCTGTAAATTTAGGTTTTTAACTTCTGTGTGTGTTTTTTTATTAACTCCAAACTAATTTTCTGCATTTATCTGTGTTCTAGATTTATCGAACTGACGATGGAGCTGGTCTCCGAAACGTTTTCAAAAGAGATATGCTAAATTTTTGTGGTGTTTTCTTCGCTTTTAAATTTCTAGTGAATCTGCGATTAAAGCAATCTAGTGACTTTTTTACTTGTATACTGAAGATATTTTGTGACGATGATGTTAACTGTTCAAAGAGGTTAGCTTAAATTAGTACACAAAATTTTCAAATGATGGCCGTTATTGCAGTCTTTGTTCCCCTACAGGTTATTGGAATATGACTGATTTTTCGTAAATTCTATCAATATATCAGCACACAATATTGAAAAAAATTATTGTTGTCACTGTGATTTTTATGCGTATATACGACATTATAAAAATTTGATTTAGAAGCAGTTGTGATTCATCTTGTCCTATAGAATCCTTAGGAAGCTAAAGCGAATATGACACTCTTAAATATCGTCTATAGGCCCAAATACATAGACTAGTTGTTACACTGTTAGAAAAATTACCGTTAACGGTATTACCGGCGTTTCAGTGGCCGGTCGGCACGTGAAAAGAAACACCGTGCCATCGTTTTCATTCTAATTTAACACTAGAAATCCGTAAGACATCTGATAGAAACGGCGAAACTGTTTATTTTCACGGGGCGACCGGCCACGACAACGCCAGTGGGACCGTTTTTTCACCGTTTTTAGCGCATTTTCTCATTTATGGAAAAAATGCACTATTGTGCTCGCCATGTCCGTCTGTCCGTCCGTCCGTGACTTCACGTTTTCGTCGACGAGAAAATGCGCGCTCTGTCACTCACTGCAGTGAGTACTGAGTTATATTTTTTTCTAACAATGATATTCGTGCCTTTCGTACCGCCGCAATACTTCATCTTATCGAGCGCATGGTCGGTCATCTGGAGGAATACCGACCGTACGTCTTGCTTTATGTGACACATGGAGCCTGGGACAACACGTATAACTTATCTAGCGTGCTTGTATAAGCTATGGTGAAACAATAACACGGAGGTTAGATTATAGTTGGGACTTCACTAGACCAATGGTGATTTTCAGCTGAGTGTGTTGAAAGCTGCACAACTTACACTATTTCAAGTGGATTTCTAATTCGTTTGCACTCCCATTCTAGTTCACTAGTTCTCAAAAAAAATGTTTAAAAAAAATTCCAAATGATGAAATCGATTTCCAACTGCATATTGAAAGGCCATTCTGGCTTGTTATAAAACCTAATTAAACAAAACTAAATGGCCAATCACCTCTGTGTTACGACCAAATTGAATAAAACTTAGAGGCCAATAACGCCTGAATAAAGTATTAAAAAAAAATTTTAGTGATCTAGAAGGCCTGTATTAAAGCTTGATTGTGCAAAACTCATTATACAACGACCAAATTAAACGAAAAAATTTTCCACTAAAAATGTGTCGACGATTTGCATCAATTTCTGTTCATACTAATAATTTTTCATGTTAAATACATAATTAAATTTTCGAAGGTAAATTATTAATTTGATTAGTTTGAATTAGTATTTGATTCTGTGTTCACCGAACTTGAATTCAATCCCCTCTGGGAAGGACATCTCCTTGCAGAAGAATCTGCCTATGAATTATGATGATGTTTATCATTATTTTCAACTTGCCTTGGGGGTTCACTAGATTATATTCAAGGTCATCTTACTTTCGGTTGCGTTTTTTTCCAAGGTTGTATAGTATATTCATCCTACTTTTTGTGGGACAAATAATTGCTTTTCTACTATATGGTTTAAGTCTCGTTTCTTCTCTCTCCCGAGACACGACTTATTCAGATTTTGTTACTGATCGGAGAAACGGATTATTTTTCTACAAGTTGTTTACGTGGAAACATTGGCATTATAATCGGTATACGTATTTTTGATGCTGCTTTTAATTCAAGGCGGCAAATTCAATCAAATTCAGATAAATCAAACGCTGATTGAGCGTCATTCATATTTTTACTTGCGACTATTTTGTTAATTTACATAATTTTGCGCATGATGTAGTCACGATGACTCACATGATATTTAATTTAAAATTTGAGTTGAATATAAGTTACTTTAAGTTAGTTTATAAATTCGTAAAGAGTTATATTTGCGTTGATCAATTCCCTAATAATTATCTATAAGGTGCGTAGTAGGCTGTTGTTTTTGGGTTGTTTGGCTGTTGTTGTGTCGTTTGACTTTTTTTATGTTTTTTGATGCTGTCATCGTGTCTTTTATCTTTTTTGCTCATATTTTCAGACTGTTATAATGTCGTTGCCTGTTTTGGCTATCCTGCTAGCTGGCGTTGTACGGCGGTTTCCGTAAAGTTCCTCCGGGAGCTTCCGTAAGACAGTTCCGTACATTCCCAATACAGAAACGGGATGTCCCATAACCCCTCACTGTCAAAAACTTTTGTTATATCAAGTTTCAACGCACGAATTGCAGAGTAGTGATTATCCTGATATAGACTTTGAGCTTGAACCACTCTCTTCGTTCTAATAGATTCGTTTTTTTATTTAAATGGCTTAGGAAATCCTTGTTTCGTAACTTAGCCAAATAATGTTCTTACTTTGCAGTTCCTCTGGTCGCTGAAGTCTAATGCTTGACAATTTTGTTGCAGATTATTGGAGAACCCAGACCATCTTACGGCCTAAGAAACTGGCCGTTGTGCGGCGCCAGCCGCCGATTTGCCATGAAAGTTATCCAGTTTCTGAAGAACTTCCAGCCTTCTGAAAGAAAACTTGTCAGAGAAATGGATGTGTTCGGTGAAGGTTTGGCTTCAAATATTTGAAGAGGAATGCTGCTTGTTGAAATTAAACAAAAAATGCTGGTGTGGTGTCCTAAATAAAATGAGCTTTTGTGATAGATGTTGCTATGTCATATGTTAGTACTTATTAGCGATAAATTTAATTGGATTATAGTTCACGTTAAGCTTTTTTTAAATTGTGAAGCGAGTATCACGCAAGTGTATAATTAGTAAAATAGACCCTTAGTTAAATTCAAAGGGATTTTTAAACTGTATCAATTTAACTTTAATGTCGTCGAGAAGAGTGCGACGGGAAATCAATTCAAATCCCAGCTTTCCATGCAATATCCTTGTATTTTTAACTCTGCTTTGAGGTTTACCATAAGAAAAGATAATTTTAACGCGCAATAGCTGAAAATAAACTTTGTAACTCTTGTGGATGAATAATTCGGCAATTAAGTAATAAAGAAGTGTAAATAGTCCATTGTGTCTCGAGGTGACATTTCAGCTTCTTCGTGTTTAAAGCGATCACCAGCTACTCTCTGTTATCACTATCAAGCTATCTTCATCAAACGATGTTTTCATATGAATCCTCGATTCATTTCTCACCTTTTATCGCTTCGACTCTAGCGTTTAGGAATTGAAAAGGTAGGTCCAACTTGCGTTTAAAAATGCCGGTTTGAAGCGTTTTGATACCCGATACGTTCCCGAAATCAGTGCGGAACGATGACCGGTGAATAAATTCGTTAACTTATGGGTGTCAAGTCAGAAGTGGGAGCCGCTGAGCAGGTCGGGCTGCTGGACAAGGCTGGGGAGCCCAGGCCTAAGAGAAGAAGTATTGACGCCGTCAGGAAATGGTCCACTTTTGATGCTCATTGCAGTGAGATTCCGTTGCTGGAGTGCAGCCCGGAGCGAAGAACAGAGCATTACGACGGCGCCGCTGGCGAGCTCCGTGAACAATGTATTGACGATGAAGAGCACTGTCTTGATGTCACGCAGGATTCTGTTGTAACGGAGGAAGAGGAAAATGATGGCACGAATGAAGAAAAGAAAAAGACGTGGAAATTATCATCAGACAAATCCAGACGGATTCAAGCGTACTTTGAAAACGAAGAAATTAGAAGGCAGAGTAGGAGAACGTGCCGAGATCCAGTTCCGATTTCAGGTTTGGACAACCGGCTAACTGGAAGCACTTCCTTGTCTAAAGCCAAGACTCTCTTAGGTCGACCTAAGCCTAGCCTCCGGCAATTGAAATGTCCGTCAAATCCTTGCCTTCTGGAACGCCGAACTCCTTCCAGGTCGAACGTGCTCTCAGTTTCGCCTTCAACACATTCGAGTTTGCAGCGATTCATTGGCCCCAAGCAGAGCTCTCTTGCTGGGCTTCCTAACCAAGTGACCACGGCCAAACAGACCCGATCTTTCGGCTCTAAGATGGCCGTCATCAGGAGCAACAGCGATTCCAAGAGGATTCATGGAGGTGGCAAAACCCAAAGGTTCCGAAACTTTTCTCTTCGCAACAGAAACCACGCCTGCGATGAGGTGAGTGCGATGCAAAGTTTTATTTCACATGTTATTATCTTGTTTGGTATGATTGTTGTTTTGAGTAAGAGAAGCTGGATAATTTTATCGTGAGGGTTGGTCGTACGTGTTCAGATTGATCATTTATTATTTGTTGTACAATCTTGCACAGCGAGCAGATGTCAATTCGTTCTAGGAGTATGGGCATCAATGTCTGGAAGGGCCAAACTACGCACAAGTTTTTCCCACAAGGGATCCTTAAAAAATCAATTTATTCAATTCAAAATAAAATTATCCGTAATGAAATAGCATTTCACCACAACACCGATAGGTTTTTCCTAATTAATGCACTAAACCACATGCAATAGATTGTAATCTGAACCGTTCGGCACTGCAGCGTGGTGAAGTAATTTAAAAGCAATAATTTATCATTACCATGCACAACTAAATTTCGCGCTCGATAACGTTATGTTGGCTCGGGTTGGAGTGGAGGGCTTTCGAAAGGTCCGATACAAAAACGCATGCGGTTCTCTGACTTCTCTCAAAATTTTATTTGAGCGCTTTTCTCAATAATATTGTTCTTAATATGTTTCTCTTAATTGTCCATCTCTGATGAAGCTTTCTTAGGACCCATCTTAATTTACTCATTCTTTCATTTTAGTCATCTTATTCCTACTGAATTGTTCATCTTTCGTTTAATAAAGTCAATTAAAATGCGTAAAAAGTGCAGCATTATCTTCAAATGTCTTAGGGTAAATTAGGGTACAGACTAATTATTGTCTGTAGGGGGCGGATGAGCGAAACTCAGTTTGTAGAAATGGCATTGGTTGAATCTAATTTCAAATTTCGGCTAAAATTTGAGTCACAAATTTAGAAAATTTTGCGTCGATTTCTGATGATGTCGATTGCTAAATCGGTCTACTTCCGTTGTTAAACTGGATTCAGGCGTTATATTAATTAATGGTTTTCATGTAACTGTAAACCATCCTCGCATGCAAGAAAAGTTAGGTTATACGAAGACATATTTGGGAATATATTGATATGACCACTTATTGCATTGTTCCTATTTAGTCAAATGTGGTAAATTTACGCAAACTGACGCATATTAAAAATTCTCATTTACTGAATGCTATTTGGAAACAAGGAATTAAATGCCACTCATTTATTTGGACTTCAGGAAGAGACGTCAGTGGCCAGTCAAACCCTATTAAATGTTTTCTATTATCACGTCAACTTATCCACATAAATTTGGGTTTTATTTACACATTCATTTTCATGTAAAATATTTCCACTTGCCATGATATTTAAAAGTTTTGAGTGGCACTTTGGTAGGACGCCGATGGTGATGCTCAGTATTCTGATCTGATCTTATATTCCTGAACAGAAAACGGGGCAAAATTTGATTCGCGCAATAAATTACTGTATAAAAGCATTTTTGAAATCGATATAAAATCTCTATTTTATTTGAGACACGTCGCTTTTACGGGGCATAAATGCTCGCACTACATTGTGAAATCATTTAAATTATTTGTCTCAGTTCACCTTTGAGGCTTGGTAAAACGCAAGCACGTTTAAAAATATTTTCTTTCATTACAAGGTAAACTATGTCAAAATATCGCTGGCTTTTTCTCGATTAACTGCCACATTCGAAAATGTCTTGATCAGGCAGTTACTAATGAGACATTAAAAATAAACAATCATTTCGACGTGCATCAACTGACGGTGGTTTTGAGTTTACGATCATCGCGATAACATTCCAGTATCATGTAGCAAGTTTTTGTAAGAATTGTTGATTTTAAGGGAAATAGAAATACAGTAATAACGCTTTGATCTGTGTAGTTTTATAGCGACATCAAAATGCGAATTTATCCGCTCCTCCTTACTGTCTTCGTCTCTTTCACTGACTTTCGCCAGCGTCTAACTCGTCACGACTTCATCATTGATGCGCCACAGACCCACAGTACACTTTCGTATAGTATACCAATGTGTTGGTGAAACATTTCGGACATTTTACTCGAAATTTGCGAATATTTTATTCTAAATTCTGGAATTTTAATTTATTTATTTAGGAAGCTATTATTTATTTTAGTTAGTAAGATATTTAGGCACTTAAGTCAAATCCAGAATTCCGGTCGAGCAGCGCCCGTGCATGTGTCGGGGCAGTTGCCGGTCGTGCAGCTGATTGCTGGACCGAGTAAACAAGGGATGCACATGATGACCTGGGGAGCGTTTGCTCAGGCGTAAAAGATTTGTGTCATTTGTTATATAAATTAAACCATTATAGGCGATATTGCCGCGCTATGGATAATCAGGGACGAATAGATATATTACTATTGTAAACTGAGCGTTTTATTATTTAGGTTGTTTATTGATATGTTGTAGGATTAGCCAATATTTTAGTATGTGCTTGTCTGCTATTAAATTAGTTGAACAATTTACTATCGCAAATTCTTACTTTTCCAAAAAATCATCACTAATGATTATTTCGCGCATTGGGTTATCGAACTGCTGTGTAATTGAATCTTCATGACTTGATGTAATAATGATACATCAGGCAAGAGGGCTTCATTGGAAAAGATCTCGTAATTGAACGGGGCCGTCTTAAGTATTTTGAACATTTATCCATTAAATTTTTGCTTGTAATTGTCTACAATAGGGCATAGCCTATATGAGCGTCAAATTATCATGGTTATTTTCTTCTTGCCCTGTAAAATTCTTTAGCCTTCAAGTTGTTAGTTTTTCTTAAGGTTCAGCAGTCTTTCTAGTTCATTCTCCTGCTGTCCAATAAACCCTGTCAGTGAGCTCCCTTGTCCTCCTGCCCAATAAACCTCTAAACCCCGTCAGTGAGCTCCCTTGTCCTCCTGCCCCATAAACCCCGTCCGTGAGCTCCCTTGTCCTCCTGCCCAATAAACCCCGTCCGTGAGCTCCCTTGTCCTCCTGTCCAATAAAGCCTGTCAGCAAGCTCCCTTGTCCTCCTGCCCAGTAAACCCGGTCCGTGAGCTCCCTTGTCCTCCTGCCCAATAAACCCCGTCCGTGAGCTCCCTTGTCCTCCAGCCCAATAAACCCCGTCCGTGAGCTCCCTTGTCCTTCTGCCCAATAAACCCTGTCAGTAAGCTCCCTTGTCCTCCTGCCCAGTAAACCCTGTCAGTAAGCTCCCTTGTCCTCCTGTCCAATAAACCCTGTCAGTAAGCTCCCTTGTCCTCCTGCCCAGTAAACCCTGTCACCTCTTGTGTTGCCAACCCCATTTGCCTTCGAGTTCATTGACTTCCTCCCCTGTAAACCTCACCAAACTTCGTTGAACTCCGTGCTGCTGAAGCGGCAGTTGGCCTCGTACGAGTTTAGTCTTCGTGCCTTTAAATTTTCTTAGTCTTAAACTCGCCAGCTGTGAACATATAAATTCAAAGAATTACGGAATTTAGAGGCCCGGGTACGATCTATTCTTAAACATTCTTCAACCCCCCTTCCCCACCGAGGAGCGTGAGAGATCATTTAGGTGACTATTTATGGTCAGCTGCCTCATGCCCTTAATAAGGATACCTACCGGTCCTGGCTGTTCTGCAGTCATGCTGTCCAGGCTGTTGTGGCTGTCCAGGCTGTTGTGGCTGTCCAGGCTGTCCTGGCTGTCCAGGCTGTCCAGGCTGTCCAGGCTGTCCAGGCCGCCCAGCCTTGACCGCGTCTAATTCCATCCTCCGGTTCCTGCCTCTGCTTCTTATTTTAGCCTTCCTGCGTGCTAAGCGCTGGTGATGGCGTCCAGTGTTTCCTCTCTTTTGTTTCCAGCCAAAAATTCCATCTTATATGAAGTTTTTTGGGGTTAAATCATGTTTTTGTTTGACCTTTTAATCAACTTCAAAAAGGATCGTTTAGTATTACCTAGTCTATAAATAACTAGTTTTAGCGTAGTTTAGCGAGATCGATTCGCTAAAGCCGAAATTTTGTATGGTGATTGTTTGATAATTATTGTTATCGTTATGTTTATTTATCTAGAATATACGCAACCTTTTTTATTTTAGTTTATAATTCTGCTCTATTCTTTCTTACTCCCTTGAAAATTGAAAAATTAGATAGAGTGACTTAATTTCCCACAAACTCCACTAGATCCTCTAAAAAGTAACATATATTTTAAATCAATGTTTCAAAGAATTTCGAAATACTTTTTAGCGCATTTTCTCATTTACGGAATAAATGCACTAAATTGCTCGCCATGTCCGTCCGTCCGTCTGTCCGTGCGTCCGTCTGTCCGTCTGTCCGTCCGTGACTTCACGTTTTCGTCGATGAGAAAATGTGCTCTCTGTCACTCACTGCAGTGAGTACTGAGTTATATTTTTTTCTTATAAATTGCGCCAACTTCTCAACATTTGAATTTATTTGGATCATAGGAATCATTTCTCATAGTTCCGCTCTCAACATGAAAATTTGAAGCACGAAAGCTCACTGAAGCGATCACATTGATCCACATCCAAGACTTCTTCTTTGCAGAATATTTTGAGTTTTCTGGAAACATCAGATTTCCAAATTCGCAAATACAGCCCCTGTAAAAATATAACTCAGTATTCACTGCAGTGAGTGACAGAGCGCATTTTCTCGTTGACGAAAACATGAAGTCACGGACGGACAGACAGCCGGACAGACGAACCGACAGACGTACGGACTGACAGACGAACATGGCGAACACCATAGTGCATTTTTTCCATAAATGAGAAAATGCGCTAAAAACCGAACATAATTTGAACGAACAATTCCTGAATTGAAACTTCCTGAAAATTTACGAAAATTTCAATTAAAACAAAGCAGGGTGCATGCGAGGTCACGGGACGGGTTCCTGTAAGGGTCATGACCCTCTTTCCCGTGCTACAGACTCGCCCTCTAACCGACTGCCTCAGTGCGCTTCTGACCGTGGTGGAGTGAGTGCGTGTCCCGCGCTGCTCCTTGAGTCGAGTCGAGCTCGCCGAGTGCTGAATACAATAGAACTCTTTGTCGGTGCTATACAATCTTCGCCACCGTAACTAGCGTCTCGTGATGCT